TCCTAACTGATTTGTTAAAACAACATCCTATCGTTATAGTATATGATCGTCAATATGCATGTAATTGCTGAGTTTATGCGGGATACTATTTAATGATGTAATAAATACGCGAAAGATAAAATAAATAAAAGGAGTGATCGAACAATGATCGATCTTCTGTTTCTTGTACACATTTCCTAAAAAATACTGGTTATTGTTTGTAAAAACCTGCTTATCGTTTGTTCTATGAAACAATTGAAAGAAATATTACAGTTACAAGTAAACGAAGAATAAGTTAACGCCGTATAATACTTTACAAAAAATGGATCAATCTGATATTAATGGTGACAATTTAAATGAGATAAATAGCTGTGATGAGGTCAATGATAATTTAAATGAGATAAATAGCTGTGATGAGGTCGATGATAATTTAAATGAAATAAATAACTATGATGAGGTCAATGATAATTTAAATGAGATAAATAGCTATGATGAGGTTGATGAAGATATCCAAGGAAATATTCCATCTCGTGCTGAAATAACAAAAAGAAGGCCACTTGAAACGCTTACGATTCCTGAAGCTGCTTTTGAGCAAGCATCAAAATTATATACTGGAATAAAATTTGATCATTGGAATCATGCAAATTTGGTACTATTAGCATATGGACAACAGAATGGCTTTGTATGGCGAATTCAAGACAAAAAATTAGATAAGCATGGTGGAGTATATAAATATGTCTTTGAGTGCCGGCATGCTGGAAATTTTAAATCCAAAAAAACAGCCATTGATCCTTCACAACAACGTAACAGAAAATCAGTTAAAACTGGTTGCACTTGTTTTGTTAATATGTATTGGCTACTTAAATCATCAAATCCGACTATTACCAAAATAAATCTTGAGCATCATGGCCATATACTCGATCCTGAAACTATTTATTTTGCTAATGTTTATCAACAGCTTCCTCAGAATATAATGGACAAGATCAAGTTTTATGTAAATGCAATTCATGATATTAATTAACATATCTTAAGACGGCTTCTTAGTGGTGAATTCAAGGAACAGTTATTTTTAGACAAGGATTTGGCAAATGCAATACAACAATTTCGAAGAAACAATTTGGTAGATTCTGAGCGAGATCCAGAAAATGATGCTTCAAATCTCCTTAAG